AGGACTAATATTATTATTATAATTTAGACTGTCAAAAAAAAAAAATTATTTTAAATCAAATCTACTAGTATATGACGGTAAACTACAAGGAGTTAACGGCTCAGCGTAGATATCATTAATTGAATGATCCAGTGCATAAGCTAGTAGAACCTAATGAGATGTGCCACCCGAAGGAGATGAAAGAGGATGGCAGGATTTCTTTTTAACAGAGAGGAGGCAGGGAGAAAAGAAGATACCACGTTAAATGGCAATTGGTACATTGACATCCAAATATTAATCAAAGCTCTCAATGTAATGGACTTTAAAGGACTCTAAAGGCTTTTATTTTGGCCTGAATTTATAATGGTTCATGGTTTCACCAGTAATAGATGAAACTACAGATTTAGGGTTCTTTGAAATATCATGGAAAAGCTTCAATAAGAGACGAAGCTGCACGAATGTGTCTTATGTTGTATCTCCTGAATCCGGCCCTGGTAAGAACATAGTCCCATTCTTTCAAGGTTCTCTCCTTGCCTTTGCTAGTATGAGCCATCATAACCATGTCTAGCATCAACCTCACAAAATCCAGCTTATCATCTTCCTCTCTCTCCTCTCCAATTACAGCTTCAGCAATTATCACTTTCCCCTTCTCCACCGGGATGGCTTCTCTGCAGTTCTTCAGAATCTTGATGCATTCCTCGTCGTCCCAATCGTGCAAACACCACTACAATTCCATCAAAAAAGGTATAAACTTAGATATAAATTTCAATCAAAATTGTGTTTTTCTATTCCAACTATATAATTTTTTGTGCAATCTAAACTGAAAATTTATCAAAATTATTTTTAATAAATTAATAACTAATTTATTAAAGATATTTTAGTAATTTTAGTATTTGGACGACACAAGCAGAGGGAACACAATTTTGATATAAATTGGAGTATTGGATTTGTTGAATTATTCTGACCATGAGGAAAGCAGCATCGGCCTTTGGAACGCTGTGAAACATGTCACCCCCGATTTTCTTGATGGAGTCTAACTCTGGTGCAACAGAGACAACATGGGGAAGATCAAAGTTGATGCCTTTGATCCATGGAAATGCCTTAACTAACATCCTAAGAGTTGTTCCGTTTCCGCCTCCAACATCAACCAAACTCCCAATTCCATCAAACACCTCCGGACAGCCGTTTATTATGGCAGGTACTGCCGCTCTAGCACCACAAGCCATTGCCTCGTCGATAAGGTTGCTGTGACTAGCATCTCTAGCTGTATAGCTCCATACGTCCACACTGTGGGCCGCGACAAACGGGAATGTCCCACTGGAGACATGATCGCTCAAGTGATGCCATGGTGCCAGCATCACCGGGCTGGTCTCGAGTAAAATGAGAGCGGCCATGCTGTTTTCACCCTGTTTCATCATCCGCCGAGACAGAGGCGTCTGTATGTAGCCTGTGGTGCCCTGGCTCGTGGCTTTCTCCTTGAACACTTGGAAATGAACGAGAAACCTCATGATGCGGTGCAAACGAGACGGTTCACAGCCAAGAACAGAAGATAGCTCAGTGAGGGAAATGGGGATTTCATGGCTTCCAACGGCATCAGGTATCCCAAGTTCAATGGCACATTTTGCTACTGCCATTTTGGCAAACCCGAATATGTAGTTCCATATTTCTACCTCTGCATGAGCTTCTTCTTCCTCACTCAATTTTGCAACTCTCTTTGTTTCTTCCATATCTCTCTTTCTTGTGGGATCGATTGAGAAAATTCTGGTTGAGGCTCTATATTTAGCTTGAGGAATTCACATATTTCAAATATGTCATATTCATCAAGATTCTTCCTGCACCCGTTCAAGCTTTTTACGAGATTTGAATCCTTATCTTATGGACTAGTGGATATAAAGAAAGATCCTCCAGCTCCAATAAAAACTTTGAGATTCTAAGGCTCAAATTCAAATCTTTAAACATGTGAAGTAAGAATATAAGGAGAGTGATATCCACTACATAGTTCAATTAGGTGTAAAGGAAAAATTCACTAACAAAAGTTTATCTAAATGAGTACCCTACCAATTAAAAATATGACAGGATAATGGGTTGGTAGGGCATACCATGTATGATGTATCAAAAAAAAAAAAAAAAAAACCCCTCCAATTGGATGGCTGTCGATTTTAGTTGAATTGGATGTAAGAGATTAAGAAAAATCACGGATCCCTTATCACTAGTGGGTCCAGAGACCTTGGCCTACTATTTATTTGTTTCCCGGGGGGAGATCTTCCTAGGAGTCGAACCCGAGGTCTCCCTTAAAAAACTTTCGCAGGTGACCTTAGTACCACTTGAGTTGACCAAGGTCTCTAGACCCACCAACGATAGGGGATCCGTCCCCTAACACCTCCAAGTGAACAGTACAGAGGACGAGTAGTTTGGCATGAATCACGTTGGTAGTTAAGTGGATCACTCTATATGCATGTATTGTCATTTAATATGTATTGTTCAACTTTCTTCATGGATACATGGAGTGATACAGTTCTAGTAAGACAGGATAATGGCTTGGTGGAGCACACCATGTTATTCATGTGTTTTGCTTTATATTCTTTCTAGGAAAGGAAAGCACATTCATTTACCAAGTGGGCCAGGGTTCAACTCCCTTGAATCACATTCCCCCTTCAATCAACCAGTCTGGACTGAAAAGCCTGTTTATCTTCTTCATAATTCATATATATGTTTTGCTTTATATTCTTTCTAGAAATGGAAACCATATTCATTTACCAAGTGGAGCAGCGTTCAACTCCCTTGAATCACATTCCCCCTTCAATCACCAGTCTGGACTGAAAAGCCTGTTTCTCTTCTTCATAATTCATATATATGTTTTGCTTTATATTCTTTCTAGAAAAGGAAAGCATATTCTTTCTTAAAAAGGAAAGCATATTCATTTACCAAGTGGGCAAGGGTTCAACTCCCTTGAATCACATCCCCCCTTCAATCAACCAGTCTGGACTGAAAAGCCTGTTTCTCTTCTTCATAATTCATATATATAAACTGTAGTTAAGTTAGAACTTTCCTTACCCAGAGGTGGATTTGAGTTTCTCAACTACTGTTAACAGAGAAGAATTTCCTTCACAAGCTTCCTTCAAAATTTCAAATCTTTCCTCCATGTTGCTCCGCTGCAATGGCAAACCTTCCTTTTCCTCAGGCACCAGAAATGTAGATGTCTTGTTGTATTGAATGAATTGCAACATCATTCCCTGCAAATATATCCAAAAAAAGAGAGAACATGAAAACCATGTTAGATATGGGTTGGCGGGTATATAGTTGTTAATTGCGTACCTCATGTTGCTGTTTCCGAGAGTAATCTCGCAGTAAAGACTTTACAATCTTATTCCGCAGCAGTAACTTGTCCTTGGCATGAATGAGAAAAACAAAACATGAAAGGTGATGCAGAACCAGTGTAAATGCCATTGATCCTCGAGTTGCAGCTCTGTCAAGGGCACTGGAAGTCCATGACTTTACATAAGCCTCCATAATAACTTCATCATCCTGCACAAGGACCAAAAAATTACATCTAACTTGCAAAATGCAACAGAAACACATAACTGGAAATTGCAAGTCAAAAGTTGGTCAACCATACCTCAATAGGCTCAAGATACCCTTCTGCCTCTCCTATGCATTTTTGTAAAGGTGGAAGAAGTTCAAGAACCCTAGCATTGGACAATGCATTCCAGGCAGCATGTCGGACAGGAACTTCAGCATAACGGTATAAATATACCGAAACTTGCCTGCCATATATCAAATCACCATAAGATACAGCAGCATACTGCTCCACAAGAGTGTCAATAAATGTTGAATAACTCCCATGAATCTCTGATTGAAACCTCAGAAACTGGTCACAATATTTCTCTCCAGTTTTGGGCATCAAATTCAAAGATTTATCCAAGTTGATTTCAGTACTTCTCTTAGACCTTTCCTTGTCAAGAAGCTGTCCATAAAGTTGTTGCAAGGACTCATAAACATCCCTACTCTCCTCTTCCTCAAGCAAACCCATCCCAACAAGTAAGATGACAGATAAAGAATGCAGTTTCAAAATCAATGGAACACTCTGAACAGGACATGGGACATTAGGGGATAGGATATTGGACATAGCTTCAATTCCCATAAGAAAGAACAATCCTGCTTTAGCAACCTCGAGCACATCACTTGGTTCCTCTATAACATTTTGTATGCTGGATGCACTTTTGAGACCAGCATGTTTGCTGTCACAGAGGGTTGAGATTGGACTGAGAAACCAGTGTGTGGGAAGAGGCAGTCTCTGATGAGCCCACTCTATCGACAAAGACATGCAGAAATGACCTTGAGTTGTCATATCTGATGCTTCCAAGTCTTCTGGTATGGTTTCTAGAGGAATGTTTCCCTTTGATTTTCCACCGCTATTTATGACTTTAGATTTTCTCTTAATAGACAACCATCTGTTTTTGAAGTGAGATGTCAATATATTACTGAAGAGCAGGTAGTCTTCTTCATTATATTCCCAACCAAATAATTTCATCCTCCGATTGGACTGGAGAAATTGCCGTATACAATTATCCAGGTACTTCAGAACAGGTACTTTAAGCATAATACCAAATGCTTTTTCCACAATATCTATATCCCTTGGACCAGCAGTTAAACATGCTACTAAAGCAGAATTCACCTTCTGCATGGTAAATGAAATCTTTTCATCAGCAGGTGACTCAGCTATAGAGAAACCATGGAAGATTTCAAGCAACTGAATCAGCAGTCCTGCATCTGTTTCAGCTAATAGAACAGTTATTGACCAAAATCCTCCACCAGGAACGCCCCATCCAACTCCCACCCCTGGGGCAGGGCCTCCTCTGCCAAATGTTTCAACTGACTGCACAAAGTTTGATTCTGATGTAATCAATTTCATGAAAACATCAAACACACATCTAAACTCAACCAGAGACTTCTTCAATATCCCGCTTGCAAGTAAGTTCTCCTCTCTTGAAAAACTGCATCCCTGAGGCCTAGAGATCTCAGCCCTTTGGATCAAGTTGTTAATGGAAATGACAACCTGGACCAATCCATGAAGGCAACTTGCAGAAGCTAATGATGTTTCAGATTCACATTGTTGCCTTAAACAGCAGAGTCCCTCAATGAATGAGCTGCTTCCAGCAAAATTCTCTCCATATTCTGTGCCATACACATCTCTAAAGCTTAAAAACCCGTTTTTTATAATTTCAAGTCCAACCTTAGGAACCAACTCTGGCAACCATGGAACATGCCCACCATATTTCTCCAGGTTGGTGGTATCTTCTGGGATTACTTTTTCAAGCACGCTTGAAACCATGTGCATAACAGCTGAATACACCCACAATAAGGAAGAGACTATCCTGTCTTGATTTACAAAGTTTCCATTGATTCCATTCTGCCAATCAAACAGCCCAGACTTCAAGGAGATCCACTTCACAGCTAAGTCAATCATCGGCCCAACATGGCTCCAACACCAGGCCTCCACATCATTATCAGCATACTCTAGACTTTGTTTATCAAGAAGCTTGTCTGAATAAAAATTTGGTAGCCTTCCAGCTAAAGCCTCTAGAACAAGGAATGCCTCCTTAGTAATGGAAGCAAATTCACTTAAAACATTAACCTCTATTAGTTTTTCAAGTGAAGGTGGGTTCAACCACAAGCACAAAGCAGGAAAAACATTGGAGAAGTATGACACACAGTACCCACTCTGAATGCAGACCTTCCAAAAACGCAGTTGTTCAACCATTAAAGCAGATGAAAGTTTACAGTTTTCTCTTCCCAACTTCAACCACTTGTCAAGGGAGGAAGCACTTTGATACAAATGCCACGTCATAGCCTGGAAAATTCCATTCTTTATGAACTCCACACAATTCTTTCTGTCAGATCGTGCCAACACCTTTTTCACATGAGACAAAAAAAAGGGAAAACTGTATGAATTCTCCAAGTCAAATTGATCAATGCTTTGACATCTAATATGAAGAATATGGTACCAAGACATGCATTTAGAAAAACAGCAGATAGGGCAGTCTCACAACTCTCACCAGTCCATCCCAAACACTTATGAACCAGCACTAACCTTCAAGAGACGCACGGATTTGATCTTAGAAGGATAAACTTCCAAATTGTTATTGACAGTAAATCTCTGGACAACAGTTTCAATAAGTCTTTGACACTTCATGATTGCATCTGCAGATGTTGGGGAATGTCTTGCTATTGCAATGAGAATGGACATAATGCATTCTTCCAAAGCTGCTGCTGGCTCTGTCTGAGATCATGCATATAAACACAATCAGAAAGCTCCAAAAAAAAAAAGAAAAGAAAAGAAAAGAAAAGCAAGTAAAATGGTTGCTGAATTTGTCAGGGTTAAGAAAAAATCATTATAATCAGGACGAGGGATCAGTTCATGTCAAAAGAAACACTTTGTTTTATTAAAATGTCAGAACAAACTTGTCCACTAATAGACAGCTGATTTCAAGTTATTGTTCATGCTCAGAATCAGAAATTTCAAACTCCAATACACATTTGCATTATCTTACTGTATGTGACAGTAGTTGACAATTTGGAGGCATAGTGCCTTTGACATCTATCTATCTAGTCCATATTAAGATCTTTCAATCAGTAAGCTTATGAAGCATCCATTCCCCTATATCTATTTAGAAATGGGTGTTTTATCATTTTACTATTGCCAAAAAGAGATACAGAGTAAACATGATAGTCATTATATACATGTTAACTAGTACTGTGCTCACTAGACGTACAAATGGGAGGGTGGAAGAAGTCATGCCCTGCGTGTGCATGGACAACAAATAATTGACAGATTTTATATATTAATAGATTAAATTTTCCAGAAACTCATCTGTGTGACCTAATAATGGCAACAATCTTACTGAAGTGCTATACTCCTTTTAACAAAGAGAACAGAAAATGTGAATGTGAGAGAAAAGAGCAGTTGAGCTTGGTTTAAACCAATACTTATTTCAGTACACAGATCACAACAAAAATATCAGTTATAAACAGAAGCTGTATTTCTACAAATATAATCAGAAACTGGAAGACAGCTATTTCTCAGCTTTGCCAATCTACAGACTTCATATAATTCAATATAATCATGCTCACCTCCAAAAGATATCGCATTCTTGGCAGGATTCCCATTCTAACCAAACCAGCAGCAGAGTCTTGACCAGCAACAACAATATCATCCTGAATTGTATGTTTTCCTTCTGTCCCATCATCAACAACATCATCACCAAAAGGAAGAATATTTGAAGGTTTAGCACTATACTTCCAAAAACCGCCATGCATGAAGCCAACATCAATTTCTGGTTTACTTCGAAACACAGGAGCAGTATGAATATCCTTCCCATTAATTGCTACTTTCTGGAAGTACATAATATTAGCTAAAATCAGAGAAAGAAAGAAGGATCTAAGCATATGAGCATAAAAATAATATAGAAATTGGAAATAAAGAACTCTACCTCCAAGATATCAAAAAAGTGCTCATTTGCATCACAGCTAAGCATATATTGAATAACTTTGGCACAGGCTAAGACAACAGAATAGTGGTTATCATCAAGAGAGATCCTACAAATCAGAAAAGGGCACCAATTAAAGCTCAAAAATTGAGAGAACTAACGGCATCTGCAAAATATAATTTACAAATGCTAAAAAAATGACTACTAATTCCAGTTTAATCTTAAACTAACAAAACAATTCTTTTGCACTCGCACAAACACCAATAAAGACTAAAGAGATGACATATTATACACCTTTCAATTTACATACATTCATGAACTCTTTTTGAAGCATTCAGGAATTTTATTAAATATTATACTTTATTACCATTGTTCCTCACAAAGTGTTTCGAACATCATACACACAATTTGTTTATTTCTACTAGATAATCTATTTGTGGAAGAAAGCCAGTGAAACCAGAAATAGGAATTCAACTGCCATTTCACCTTAATGATAAAACAAGCTCTGGCTCTGGGCCAAGCGCATAAGCCCATACAGCGTCCCAGTCAACAGTACCATCAGCTTTTTCATCATTTATTCCACCACACCCAATTTGCTTTTGATTAATATTGTCCATTGCCTTTTCAAGCACAGACGCAAGAAGATGCAAGGCAAGGGTCCGTTGTCCTGGAACCTGTCATCAAAAATAATAATGGAACAGTAGATTATAAACTGGTTATAAACAATATTAAAAATAATATAATTATACTTTATCAAATCAACAAGATATATCACTAAGTACAAACAAACCGTGCTTCTAGTGAGAGCCACTGCTTCTTTGATTGTGTAACCTGCTGCCCCGGGGTCACCCTCGGTCCGCAAGAAGTCGCGTTCAGCAACATTACCACTAGTAAGCCTATGGTTTACAGAAACTTCACCACCTGAAAAATGATAATAAAAAAAATTAATCAATATTACAACTAATTGTATGCAATTCCTTGCAAAGAAACTGTTCTACTACACATTTATAACCTTAGAAAGAGACTGATTATTGGCCATAGAGTATTGACTAGAGAACCAATGCCCAAAAAACAACCTTGGAGTATACAATGATAAACGGAGAACAAGATTTTCCTTAAGTATATCTAGAGCACAGAGTAAAGTATGTCTTTTTTATTCAGAGACATAGACTAGATAACATGGTAAACACACAAGTCACTGAATCCTCTACTGACTTAGAGACAGAACATAAGATTAACCAATTAAATTAATTGACTACCCAAAACTCAGCTTGAATTGTAATAATTTAACCGGACAAAAGAAGAAGAAGAAGTAAAAAAGGAAGGATGAATGGTATGCCTAGTAGGAGCCATAATTTATCATTACCTGTCTCAAGCAGGTAGACAAAACTGTCTTTAACAACCGTACCATCCAACAAAAATCTTAATTCTCTAACAGCCTCAACTCTCTCACTCCAAGTATTCCAAAAATTGCTATAGGGTGGATTTAAATTCTGCTCAACACCATTTTCTGGGCCACTCTTTGTATTAATTGAATTAGTTGCTGTTGCCATTTGAGAATCAGAGCTCTCTGTATCTGGATGACTTTTAGTGATACTTGTTTGATTCTCATTTTGTGTAATAATCAAGTCACTGTTGGCACCCATATTGGAGATCAAGTTTTTCTGCTTCTTCAATTTCTCTGAGCCTCGCTTTCTCAACAAGTTTAGTAATGCAGGATCCATCCTTTGCATTATCTCAGCCTGTGCTTGTGCAATCTCTTCAGGTGACATGCTTTCTAGCCTGGCACGATTCTCAGCATCAATTTCACTTTCAAGAGAGATGGATCCTTGTTCATTTGCAAAGTTTCTGAATGTTTTTGGCATCATGGATACTGTAGAATCCATCTTCTCCAGATTCTCAATTTGTACTCTTGCTAGATCATCACGTGGCATCCTCTCTGCACTGATTTTGCTATATATAGCCATTATTGGTTCCCTATTTAAGTTATCTGAACTGGCATTTTGGACATTCTCTTTCAGGTGTGATTGATGTGAATTATCCAAGTCCATGTCAGTGACTGCACTAAAATGCAATTCATTTGTCACGGCATCCTCACTTTTACTTGAAGGCTTACAAGAATTAGAGAGCAGCTCTCCATCCACCTCCATTGAAGCCACCTCATCTGCATGATCTACTGAGAAGTCCTTTGAAAAGCTTTTATAAGTTGTAGTTTTGGTTGCTTCTCCATCCTTCTTGTGTTTCACTTCTTCATTTGACTTTGTCCCTTCCTTCTCCTTAGTCATGGAAGAATCATTACTCTGAGTTAATTCTTTCCAATGGCTAAAATTCAATCCTTTCTTCTCTTTCCTCTGCACTGGTTTAGCAAAAGCTGCTATAGGGTCAAAGTCAGCAAACTGGTCTTCATCTTCATCTTCATCATTATCATCATTTTTATTGCCTAAAGGATTCCAATGCTGTGAAATCGGATTCTCACATCAGTTTATGCAAACCAAGGAAAAAACTTCAACTTTCTAAAGGATTCCAATGCTGTGAAATCGGATTCTCACATCAGTTTATGCAAACCAAGGAAAAAACTTCAACTTTTTTATTGGTTTATTCTCCAATCTCAAAAAAAAAAAAAAAAAAAAAAAAAAGAGAGAGAGATGTTCAAGCAAAAGCAAGTAGCTTTAAATCAAATATCATCCCTAAACTTGAAAAAAAAAAATCAATTTGAATAAAGCTACGTGCTAATCTTGTCAATTCTGAAATATTATAACATAAAATTCATTTTCTTGTCTAAGGTTTTAGATAAGGAAAAGCATTTGATGAACGCATAAGACTGAAGTGGGTATGGCTTACTGGTCCATGGGAACGGTGGCGAGCAACCGGGAAAGGAAGGAGCGTAGGCTGAGGCGGCGGAGTAGTTTTGTTATTACTAATTTGTGACGAAGCTATGCCCTTCTCAACTATGCTTCCGACCAACCAAGAAGCATCATCGTTGCTCCTCGTCCCTAAATTCTTCGATGTAGTCACTTTAGGGCCACTTCTTTTGCTCTTCTTGGCGTTTTCCTGCTGCTGTTGCTGCTTCTTCTCCATTGAAGGACACTGCGGAGCCGGAGAGTCGCCGGAGTTCCGAAGGAAGAAGAGGAGTCAGCTGTAGAACCTTCGCATGCCTGGTAGAAGGAAATTAAATGGAAAAACCTCCAAAGAAACCTTCGAACTTCGTTTTATTGGCAATTGGTCCATTAAAATTTTTATCTTATGACAAATTAGTCCCCAAACTTCTTCACTTGCAAAAATACACCTACGACCAAGGGCCGGCCCAAACCGAGAGCCCATTTACAGAATGAAGAGCTTTCCTTTCCTCGCTAAATTCTTCTCTTTCGTCTGCGAATTCTGCATCTGATTCTATTTTCTGTCTCTTTCTCGGGAAAATTATCCATGGCAGATTGGTCCCAACTACCGAAGGATCTACTAGACCTCATCGCCAAACAC